AGTGGGATATGACTTAGTGACTGAGCAGCAACAATTGGTATTATTTCAATCATTTTACTCCTTCCTGACATTTTGACCCTTCTCATTATTTCATTGACAATGATTTAGTTCTTTTTTTATTCCATTTTACCTCTATAAACTTGTTAGTTCCAATCTTACGCAAAACTTCTGCAGTTACTTTAGTGGTTAAATTCTGAAACCTTTACTTAATATAGAATAATAAAATTAATTGCTCTTATCACCTCTCCCAAATGCTAATACTTAAGAATACTTTCATTTCCATTTCAACGTTCCTGATTTTTCTATTACTGTGGTCATGCATCTTAATTCTGCATGTATTTTAATCTCCATGAGATAGTTCTAGAATTTCTTTATAGAGCAAAATTTATTTACATTTATTTCTAAACTATACTTTCCTTTTATCTTCATTTCCTTTTGCATTTCTGGTTTTCAATCTGATATTATTTTCCTTTGAACTTCATAACTCACTCTAGTAGTCTATCTATTCAAAGGCTGCTAACAAGGAAATGTTTCACTTTACATTTTTTAAAAACTTCTTTATTGGGGGCAATATTGATGGTGAGTATACAATTCCGATTTGATATGATTTGATCACTTTAATAATGGTGCTCTCTTGATCTCTACGTTATTTATGTTCAGATGTTACCAATTAGCATTTCCTTGCTTATTTGAACTTTGTATTCTCTAAAATCATTTACATTCACTCTGATTATTAGACCATCAATTCAGTTCAGTTCAGTTCAGTCGCTCAGTCGTGTCTGACTCTTTGTGACCCCATGAATTGCAGCATGCCAGGCCTCCCGGTCCATCACCAACTCCCAGAGTTTACCCAAACTCATGTCCATCGAGTCGGTGATGCCATCCAGCCATCACATTTTCTGTTGTCCCATTCTCCTCCTGCCCCCAATCCCTCCCAGCATCAGGGTCTTTTCAAATGAATCAGTTCTTCCCATTAGGTGGCCAAAGTATTGGCGTTTCAGCTTCAACATCAATCCTTCCAATTAACACCCAGGACTGATCTCCTTTAGGATGGACTGGTTGGATCTCCTTGCAGTCCAAGGGACTCTCAAGAGTCTTCTCCAACACCACAGTTCAAAAGCATCAATTCTTCTGTGCTCAGCATTCTTCACAGTCCAACTCTCACATCCATACATGACCACTGGAAAAACCATAGCCTTGACTAGACGAACCTTTGTTGGCAAAGTAATGTCTCTGCTTTTAATATGCTGCCTAGGCTGGTCATAACTTTCCTTCCAAGGAGTAAGCCTCTTTTAATTTCATGGCTGCAATCACCATCTGCAGTGATTTTGGATCCCCAAAAAATAGTCTGACACTGTTTCCACTGTTTCCCCATCTATTTCCCATGAAGTGATGGGACCAGATGCCATGATCTTAGTTTTCTGAATGTTGAATTTTAAGCCAAATTTTTCACTCTCCTCTTTCACTTTCTTCAAAAGGCTCTTTAGTTCTTCTTCACTTTCTGCCATAAGGGTGGTGTCATTGTTATAGCCACGCGTTCCGGGAAACAAACTCACTCAGAAGGACAATGCAGATAGTGGAGTGCAGTTTATTACACTGGCAGGCCCAAGGCAGAGTCTCCTCTTAGCCAAGGACCCTGACCAGCATTTGTGAAAATCTTTTACACCCTATGTGTACATGTCCAAACCCACCACCCCAAATTCCTTGAGACTTACATAAACAAAGGAAGGGTAAATACAATCACAATAATCCCATCATTCATGTGTTATGTGTTCAAATAGTTAATAATCAATAAGCCCTTGGTTACATTCCAACCAGTTAATAACTGATAAGCCTGTGGTTACATTCTGATAGATACAGAAAAAATTTATGGCCTGTCCAGAGACAGGGGTGATAAGTGTCTGTTTTCTCTTAGGCAATGAGTAACCTCGACACGCTCTTCAAGGTCCCCCAGTGTGGAGGGGGTCCTGTCCTTCCATTGTTGTTCCCACAGGCGCTAAGCATAGAGCTCAGAGTCCACTGGAGAGGCAGCCGCGCACGACCAGCATGGACAGGCCTGAGATGGGGTCCAGGTCCTGTGAATTCCTTCTTCATCATCTGCATATCTGAGGTTATTGATATTTCTCCTGGCAATCTTGATTCCAGCTTGTGCTTCATCCAGCCCAGCATTTCTCATGATGTACTCTGCATATAAGTTAAATAAGCAGGGTGACAATATACAGCCTTGATGTACTCCTTTTCCTATTTGGAAGCAGTCTGTTGTTCCATGTCCAGTTCTCACTGTTGCTTCCTGACCTGATATTAGACCATAGTGTAACTCATTATTGTTTCCCATGTATTTTCTTTGCTTAAAGACCATTGCGTTAATTCCCTCTGTGGGTTGGTGTCTCTCATCCATTTGGAACATGTTTGCATATATTTTCACTGTGATGTCCATTCCTCATCAAATTCCCTTCCCTGGTGGCTCAGACAGTAAAGAATCCACCTGCAATGCAGGAGACCTGGGTTTGAACCCTGGGTTGGGAAGATCCCAGGAGGAGGGCATAGCAACCCACCCCAGTATTCTTGCCTGGAGAATCTTCATGGACAGAGGAGCCTGGCGGGCTGCAGTCCATGGGGTTGCAAAGAGTAGGAAACTACTGAGCAACTGAGAGTGTAACAGGCAGGAAGGCTAGGGCTCTCCAAATGGAGAAAATAGGCTGCAAGTGTCAGACATTTTTTATCTCTCTTTTAAGCAGCAGGAGGAAACAAACTACAAATGTCAGATTTTTTTTTCTTCTCTATACAAATTTAAAACGAGGTTTCTTTTAAAATCTTTTGTTGTCATGATGACACCTGGTTCCACCCGAACTTTTCTCAAACCTTGAGTTAATCAATGCATTTTTCTTATGGAAATGTTTTTCTTAAGCTATGTTAATGAACTATGTGTTTACCCTAGACTCTTTCTTCTAGTCAGTTCTTAAGACTCAGAACTGATAAGGGTTCAACAAACCAGTATGTTTTCCTCATATATTGTTCTCCTATTCTATGTTAATGAAGCTATATATTTACTTGGAAACCTGCCTTTCTTCAAGATTCATGTCAATCATTTTATGGCCTGGGATGTCTCACCTTGTGCCAGTGTTATCTCAAAAGGCATGCTGTGGATGAGGGGCCTGGTGCCTCTCTGAGCTTTGAGACATTTCCTTTCTCTAATTAACAGCTTGCTGGTAGGTATATAACATATTGCTAAGGGCTAGCAGGGGGCACTCTTTCTGCCCCCTTCTGATGTCTATGTCAGAAGCTTTGTCTATCTCTTTTATACTTTAATAAAACTTTATCACACAAAACCTCTGCATGATCAAGCCTCATCACTGAATTCCTCTTCTCTGGAGGCCAAGAATGCTGGTGTTTTGCATGGCTCAGCAACAACCTTTCACAGCTAAAAACAACACCTTCATAATCAATTAAACGCTTAATTTCACTTCTGACAAAAGCAAAATGCATAGCTTTATTTTATTTATCTTTTATATTTGTTTATTTGGCTGCATTGAGTCTTAGTTGCAGCTCTTAGGATCTTCATTTGTTACAGCCAATCACCCAGGGAAACAAACTCACTCAGAAGGACAGCGCAGATAGTGGAGTGCACTTTATCACACCAGCGGTCCAAGGCAGAGTCTCCTCTTTAGCCAGGGACCCTGACCAACTTTTGTGAAAACCTTATATACCTTAAGTGTACGTGCTCAAGCCCACATCCCCAAATTCCTTAAACCTAGCCTGGAAAATGTTAAAGAGAGATACAATCAGGTTACAGTCACGATTCATAATCTAAGAGTTCAGCTGGTTATACATTGTAGTCTACATCAATGGGTGCAGAAGTGATTGACTACATAGGGGATCATTACATGCTTTCTGGAGATGGGAAATCTAGGCACAGAGTCTGGTGTTTATCAGTGTGGGAGGTCTGTTTTGTCATAGGTATGTTGTCTCCACGGCTGCCAGGCATATAGTCCAAAGCTCACTGAGAAAATAAGAGAGAGTGTCCTTCTTCTCAAAATGGAGTCAGCCTGGCCTGTTCCTTTCCTCCTTCACTCCTGTCTCCTGATGCTCTCAACTCCCAGTGTGAGCATCATTCATTGGGATGCACTGAACTTTAGGTATTTTGATATATATTTGGGTGAACGAAGATAGTCTCAGTGAAACAAAATTAACAATACATTGGAGAATACAAGGCCCACACAACAAGATTAATAATGTGATTATAACAACGGTTAGTACAGTTTTCCACCAATCGCCCTTTACCCATGACAGAACAGAAGTCCAAAAAGGAAGATTACCATCAGACATAGCTTTCACTTGACCTTTCATATCATCTAGAGTGGCTGATACATTGCCAGATAAATCAGGAATACATACACAACATCCAACTTTAATTATAGCACAGGTCCCTCCTTGTGTGGCTGTAAGTATATCTAAAGCCATCTGATGTTGAATTACTGCCTTTCTCATCTGTATTTGTTCTGTATTTAAGGCTTGAATTGCCCTCAGGTGGTCATTTAGGGCTCTTTGGGTGAAATTAGTTAGAGCTTCAACTCTAATCCTTATATTCGCAAGTCCTTGCAGCAGCAGTTGACTGTAGAGTTTCATCTCTTCTTTAAGATGATCTCGGTTTCATAGGGATCAGCGGGGTCTTTTTGCATAGTCCACTCAGCGTCCTCTGAGTATGTGTGGTATGCTCTCTTCACCCCTGTGTGGTGGATTCAGGGAGTGACACCTGTAACTTTAACTGCCGTAGGTGTGGCTAGAACAACAGTTTATGGACCCTTCCAATGTGGGGCCAAGGAGTCGTGTTTCCAGTCCTTAACTCACACATGATCACCAGGCACAAATTTGTGAATCTGTTCCCTAAGGGGGAGCGGCACCCTTTCTTGTTAACTAACTTGTTAACTAACAGACTTAGTTATCTCATTTATTACCTTACCCAGTTGTTCCATCTGCTGTGAAATCCCATTCCCTCTTACCTGTGGCAGATTTGCTGACACCTGTCTCACTACGGAAGGGGGCCTCCCATAGGTAATTTCATAAGGAGAAAAACCGGGGGAACATGGAGTCACTCTTAATTTGAGTAAGGCTGCCAGAAGCAAGTCCATCCATGAACAGTCAGTCTCTACAATCCATTTTGAGAGTGTCTCTTCAAGAGTCCAGTTGGTTCTTTCCACCAATCCAGAACTCTGGGGCCTATATGCCATTTGTAGTTTCCATTTAATATTGAGAGCTTTCTGTCCTTTATTGTGCCCATCTTTGCATGAAATGTTCCCTTGGTATCTCAAGTTTTCTTGAAGAGATCTCTAGTCCTTCCCATTCTATTGTTTTCTCTATTTATTTCATTGCACTGATCACGGAGGAAGGCATTCTTATCTCTCCTTGCTATTCTTTGGAACTCTGTATTCAAATGGGTGTATCTTTCCTTTTCTCCTTTGCGTTTCACTTCTCTTCTTTTCATAGCTATTTGTAAGGCCTCCTCAGACAACCATTTTGCTTTTTTTGCATTTCTGTTTCTTGGGGACAGTCTTGATCACTGCCTCCTGTACAATGTCACAAACCTCCATCCATAGTTCTTCAGGCACTCTGTCTATCAGATCTAATCCCCTGAATCCATTTGTCTCTTCCACTGTGCAAACGTAAGGGGTTTGATTTAGGTCATACCTGAATGACCAAAAAAGGGAAAAGGGGAGCCCTTTTCATGCAAAGATGGGCACAATAAAGGACAGAAATGGTATGGACCTAAGAGAAGCAGAAGATATTAAGAAGAGGTGGCAAGAATACACAGAAGAACTGTACAAAAAAGATCTTAATGACCCAGATAATCATGATGGTGTGATCACTCACCTAAAGCCAGACATCCTGGAATGTGAAGTCAAGTGGGCCTTAGGAAGCATCACTATGAACAAAGCTAGTGGAGGTGATGGAATTCCAGTTGAGTTATTTCAAATCCTGAAAGATGATGCTGTGAAAGTGCTGCACTCAATATGCCAGCAAATTTGGAATGCTCGACAGTGGCCACAAGACTGGAAAAGGTCAGTTTTCATTCCAATCCCAAAGAAAGGCAATGCCAAAGAATGCTTAAACTACCGCACAATTGCACTCATCTCACACACTAGCAATGTAATGCTCAAAATTCTCCAAGCCAGGCTTCAACAGTACATGAACTGTGAACTTCCAGATGTTCAAGCTGGATTTAAAAAAGGCAGAGGAACCAGAGATCAAATTGCCAACATCCGTTGGATCATCAAAAAAGCAAGAGAGTTCTAGAAAAACATCTATTTCTGCTTTATTGACTATGCCAAAGCCTTTGACTGTGTGGGTCACAACAAACTGCTAAAAATTCTTCAAGAAATGAGAATACCAGACCATCTGACCAGAGAACTTTGTATGCAGGTCAAGAAGCAACAGGTAGAACTGGACATGGAACAACAGACTGCTTCCAAATTGGGAAAGGAGTATGTCAAGGCTGTGTATTGCCACCCTGCTTATTTAACTTATATGCAGAGTACATCATGAGAAACGCTGGACTGGATGAAGCACAAGCTGGAATCAAAATTGCCAAGAAAAATATAACTTCAGATATACAGATGACACCACCTTTATGGCAGAAAGTGAAGAACTAAAGAGCCTCTTGATGAAAGTGAAAGAGGAGAGTGAAAAAGTTGGCTTAAAATTCAACATTTAGAAAACTAAGATCATGGCATCTGGTACCATCACTTCATGGGAAATAGATGGGGAAATAGTGGGAGCAGTGACAGACTTTATTTGGGCTCCAAAATCACTGCAGATGGTGACTGCAGCCAAGAAATTAAAAGACACTTGCTCCTTGGAAGAAAAGTTATGACCAACCTAGACAGCATATTAAAAGCAGGGACATTACTTTGCCAACAAAGGTCCATCTTGTCATAGCTATGGTTTTGCCAGTAGTCATGTATGGATGTGAGAGTTGGACTATAAAGAAAGCTGGGTGCTGAAGAATTGATGCTTTTGAATTGTGGTGTTGGAGAAGACTCTTGAGAGTCCCTTGGACTGCAAGGAGATCCAACCAGTCAATCCAAAGGAAATCAGTCCTGAATATTCATTGAAGGACTGATGTTGAAGCTGAAACTTCAATACTTTGGCCACCTGATGTTAAGAACTGACTCATTCGAAAAGACCATGATGCTGGGAAAGAATGAAGGCAGGAGCAGAAGGGGATGACAGAGGATGAGATGGTTGGATGGCATCACCGACTCAACGGACATGAGTTTGAGTAAACCCTGTGAATTAGTGATGGACAGGGAGGCCTGGCGTGCTGCAGTCCGTGGGGTCACAAAGAGTCAGACACAACTGAGCAACTGAACTGAACTGATTTAGAGCTTTACATACCTGTTGAATTAAGTCAGCTATAAAGTCAGGACGGTTGTCTCATCCTATGCTGGTTGGGAACCTGAATCTGGGGATTATTTCTTGAAGCAGACAGTGAGCCACTTCACTAGCTTTTTCAGTTCGGGTAAAGAAGGCCACCTCCCATCCTAAGACGGTACATAGATGGGTAAATAATGATAATGTCGGCAGGCTTTCATCTCAGTAAAGTCCACCTCTAAATGTTCAAAGGGCAGAGTGCCTTTTAACTGTATTCCTGGAGGTTTTTATGTCCAGGGGCAGCATGGACCTGTGAGCAGGCAGAACAGTTCCGGGGTTCCATTGTACACAAGGAGGAAAATCGTGGAATTAGGAAATATTTTAGAATAAATTCTTCCACTTTGTCATGTCCCGAGTGGGTTGCCTGGTGGACCTGAGACACCAGTGTGGGGACCACTGCCTTGGGTACCAGTGACCTGCCATCTGGCAGTTCCTACCAACCTTTTTCATTTTTGGTGGCCTTTTCTGTTTCTGCCATCTGGTCTTGGGCCAGGGTATACTTCGAGAGAGTTAAAGTTAGTTCAAGCATTTTTGAGAGCACAAATGTTCTGACAAGTCCTCCCCCAGCAGCCCCAAATTCCTTGGATGCATGTTTTGCAGCTTTATCTGCTAGTCGGTTTCCCCATGCTTGGCGGGGGGGTGTCTTCTTTTTGGTGACCCTGACAATGTATCAATGCAACCTTTTCAGGTTCCCATACAGCAAATAATAGAGTCAAGGTTTTTTCCTTGTTTTCAATGTCCTTTCCACTGGCCATCAGAAGACCTCTCCCTTTACATAAAGCCCCATGTGCATGCAAAGTGGTAAAAGCACACCTAAAGTCAGTGTAAACACTCATGTTCTTACCTTTTGGCAGCTGGAGGGCCCAGATTAGAGCGTGTAGTTCAGCCCCCTTGAGCAGACCAGAGTGATGGGCAGAGAGCCAGCCTCAACAATGGTTTCTTCTGTGACTACTGCATATCCTGACAATCGTCGTCCTTGTTTCACCAGGCTGTGCGCCATTGGTGTACAGGACCCATTCTGGGTCCAGGATTGGCTGGTCTCTCAAGTTGGGTCTGCTGGCATAAACTTCTAGGATTTCCTTGCAATCATGTGAGGGCCCACCTTCTCCCACAGGAAGGAGAGTGGCTGGGTTCAGGGCCTGACAAGGCTCAATAGTAACATGGGGGTTCTCATATAACAGTCCTTGGTATTGAGTAATCTGGGATGTCGACAGCCATTTATGGGGTTCTCTCATAGGGGAGTGTTGACCTCATGGGGGACTTTTACAATCAAGTCCTGGCCCAAAGTCAGCTTAATTACCTCCCGGACCAGTAAGGCAACCACAGCAACCGCCTGTAAGCATCCCGGCCACCCGGTGGCAACACTGTCCAGCCATTTCAAGAGAAAAGCCATGGGTCTGCCCCATGTTCTCAAAGTCTGGGTCAACACTCCCATAGCTACCTTGTCCTTTTCAGTCATGTAGACAGTAAACGGGCTTAGCAAGGTCTGGCAGGCCCAAGGCAGGTGCTGACAAAATTGCCCAGCTTTAGTTCCTCAAAGGCTTGTTGCTGTCTCTCAGTCCAATTTAGTGAATCTCCTTCTGGTCCAGTTAGGAGTTCATATAACACCTGGACCATCTGGGAATAGCCCGCAATCCAAATCCTACAAAGCCCAGTGGCTCCCAAGAACTCTCGGACCTGTCCTCTGGTTCTTGGTTGTGGAATTCTCAAAATGACCTCTTTTCTGGACTGGTCTAACAGCCTCGTGCCTCCTCTCAGAACAAACCCCAAATATCTTGCCTCCTCTTTGCAGATTTGTGCCTTCTTTTTCCAGACTCGGTAGCCGGACTCCATCAACAGCTCTAGTAAAGTCTTGGTTCCTTCCCAGGAGTCTTCTCTGCTCTCGGCAGCCAAAAGCAAGTCACCCACATAGCAACCACGTCCACTGTAGCAACCACATCCATTGTAGCAACCAGCATCTGAACCTCTCTGGCTGGAATGAGTCCAGGTCGGAAGCCAGGGCTTCCCCAAAGACAGTTGGGGAATTCTTAAATCCTTGTGGGAGGCAAGTCCAGGTGAGCTGCTGTTTGCTGCCCGCTTCTGGGTCTTCCCATTCAAAAGCAAAAATAGGTTGAGACACCGGGGTGAGGCATATACAGAAGAAGTTATCCTTGATATCTAAACAAGTATAGATCTTAGCACTCAGTGGGAGGAGGCTAAGTAAAATATAGGGGTTAGGAACGGTGGGAAGTAGTCACGGCAGCTTGGTTGATCAGTCTGAGGTCCTGCATGGGTCTATGGTCCTGTCCCCTTCTTTCTTGACAGGCAGGGCTGGTGTATTTCAGGCCGACTGGCATTCAGTCAGGATGCCTGCCTGTTTTAGTCTGTTTATGTATGGCAAAATGTCAATTCGAGCCTCTAGCTGCAGCTGGTACTGACGTTTTCTGACTGGGGCAGCACCAGGTTTGAGTTCTACTATTGGAGCTTGATGTATGGCAAGCCTTGGGAGGTTATCTTCCACCCAAATCTCAGGGAATTGTTGAGTTAACTCTTTTTCTCTGCTGTTCAGCCCATCTAGTTTCCTTTCTAGGAGGTCATGTAACCTCCATTCATCTTGAGGGGCTACCAAGAGGGACAGTAAATAGGTGGTTGAGCCCACTCAAAGAGTGGGTCTTTCTCAGGGGGAGAAAGTCACTTGTGCCCCAACTTGGGTAATAAATCT